TTTCACCTGTGCCCATGTGTAGATCAGCTGTCCAGGTAACTTGTATATGATGGGGAATAGTCTCCAGTGTGTTTCCTCTGGCTTATGTCACTTACATAGGAGGGAGAGAGGCTGAGTACGGTGAATTACAGAGAAGTTCAGTTTGCAGCTCTGCTGTCTTTTGGGGCTTAGTCCCAATTTTGGCACTCAGTTGGTGAAGAAAATCATATTCTTCAGCTGGTCTGTCACAGCATTGACTAAATTAGGATGCTTGCTTTTACAGTATTACTTGTGGGTGAGAAGTGATTTCCTGTGGGGGTTTTGGCGGGGCTTTTTGTTTGCTTGGTTTGGACTGGTTGTTTTTCAGTATTGGGGCATTAGGTAGTTTCCATTCATTTTACTTCAGTTAAATTGCAGATGTGGGGTGTTATATTGGAGTAAAAAGTGTGACCTGTTAAAACACAGTCCTAGAACAGAAAACAGTTAAAAGTTCTTCATACTGTTTTTTTTTGTAAAATTCTCTCTCTTTAATGGAAATAGCACACTATTTTTGGTTCCTGTTCAATTTCAAAGGGCATAACAATTGGTAATGTGATCCCATCCCACCCACACGGTTCTGCTGTATGGATTTTATTCTCATGCTGCTCTTTCTTATAACCAGTTGTGCTGATTCAAGTAAGAATAAAAAGAAAGTCAATAACGCTCCAGTGCTCCCACTTGTGAACTTGGGGAGTAGATGGTACCTTCTTGTCTTTGTTAATTACTCTTGAGGAAAAACCTCTAGTTTTGCATGCTTCCAGGTGAGAAGGCAAAGGTGGTTTCTCCTTTATGTTGGTCTTCTGTGGCTGTCTTCATCTTGCTCATGAAACGCTTTTGGGTCTGTTTCTCATCTATTTAATCAGCTGCAAAATCCAGGCTGGATAGACTCCTGTGAGACTTTTTGTTTTGTTTTACTGCTGCAAATTAGTTTTAAAACACTCTTGAATCAGCAAGGTTGTACCTATGTATTTTCTCAAGAGTCCCTGCTTGAAAGGGAGTTTTCTATTCTATGTTGTGATCGAGGTGATTGTTTATGTAGGTTGAGTGGTACTTGGTGGCAGTGTAGATTCACTGTGAAGCTTCTAGTCAGGCTCATGGAAACTCCTGGTGTTATGCTGAGCTAGAGCTGTTGAGCTGATCTTAACTGTTGATGTTACTGAACATACAACACGCTTCAGTCTGCAGTGTAGTTATTATAAAATGTCTTAAAATAGCACATAAAAGTCTGATGGGCTTTTAAATTATTTACCTTAGTTATTAAATGCTTGCAGGATGGGAAGACTGCTTTGTGATAAAAGAGGATTTGCACTCCTGGGTGTGAATATGTGCAAAATATTTCATGTATAAATGGCAGAGTCCAGTCTGCTGTATATTTGATCCTGAGGGACATACCTGCATGTCAAAATGCTGCCCTTGACTATTATCCTTTCGTTTTAGTTGGAAACACATGTATTTGACCATTAAAATGTCTATTTGAGAGGGAAGAGTTACTTGGGAGGTAAAATATGCTGCTTACTTATAGGTAGCTGTCGTGGGTTTGCACTGGCCAAACCCCAGTGCACCCATGAAAAATCATTTACTCATTCTCTTCTGCTATAGGTGAGCAGAGGTGGGGGAAAGAAAAATTACAAAGGAGTTCATGAGTTGAGGTAAGGATTGGGAAGAAGCGTTTTTAAGGGCAAAACAGGCTTAAACTTTAAAAGGTATAAATAAAATAAATATTAATAGACTTTAAAGTTGTATGATAAGAATAAGAACAATTAGAGAGCCTACATTTCAAAAATATAAAATCTCCAAAATGCTCTTGTGACAATGTATTTGTTTATACTGCATGTAAAGGAAACAGTGCTGAATTAAGTTTGGATAAAAGTCATTTCTGCTATGGTAAGCAGCTCTTAGTGCTACTGTAATCAGTTGCATGGCCCTTGTATCTTGTTCAAGAATCCATGTCACTGTTCACTACCTGTAGATTTGGCAGCAAGGTTTAGAGAGTAGATGGGTGAAGGTTCAAAAATGGAAAGCTGGGGCAAGGGGAAATATATTCCATGTAGCCATGAGCTGTGGCTAGATGGAGGTAAGCTGTAAATAGTGGGAGTCTTTTCACTTTTCTTCATGGCAACCACCGAAGAAGAAACATGAAGGAATTTATTCACATTTGACACGGTGAGCCATGTGCATGTGTAAGGCATCTGCTGGCCAGAGACTAAGTCTGCACAAATCCCTTAATACAATTTAGAGAACACCAGAATACAAGCCCTCCTTCCACCTCAAGCTTGGGATTCTAGAGAATATGGGCCATCTCTCTTCCTTAAAATTTCCATGTCAGTCTGTGTAGTAAGTGTATTCTGATCCATTGAATAAATACTTGGTGGTGGGGGAAGCGATGCAAATGCAAATTGGCACTTATCTCCTGTAGTCTTGCATGATTTTGAAGGAGTCATACTTTGCCTGCCTCATCTTACTAATTCTTTGTAGAACTATATTAAAGCAGATGTTATTTCCTTGCTATAAAGATAGAAAATTAGTTAAGGGGTATAAAAAGCATCTTGGTGTGTTTGGAATAGGTTATAATTCTGGCCACAACATATGTAGAAAAGTTTGGTAGATATCTTAAAAGATCTGGTAACTTATTAAACGAAAAACTTCGAAGGGCAGGAAATGTGTAATAGATTCAGTACTGATGTAGAGTCAGATTCTGTTCTTCTGAAGCATTAGCCTTTTTAACCTTATTCTTTTAAAGTTTAGCTTTTATGTTTTCTCATTGCATGATGTCACAAATTGTAGCTGCAGCACTTGTCTGTCAAGCATCACAAGCACGATCTCACTGCTGGCTTTGAAGTTTATATGTGCAGGAATTTAGCTTAGTGCAGGCAACTGTGCACTTCTAGCCATCTCTGAAACAGAATTCTGCAGAACATCTGTCCTAAAGCAATGGTTGGAGCTCTGGGAATGACTGCTACAAGCATCCGGGAGGAAACAAGCTACCCAGATGAATAAAATTCCTGTTTCCAGAAAGCCTGTATCTTTATGTCCCAGGAATACTTGACATGTCACCATTCCTGCTTCTGTGATTTTTTTTTTAGTTTAAATTGCTGGTTCTTTTTTCTTTTCTTACTCAGAAACTGCTGACTTGCTTAAGGATCTTCTTTCCCAGGCTGTGTATATATTTTTTGTTTCCTTTTTACTAAAAGATTTTTGTTTGAATTGTCTGTTCCTTGAAAGTATAGGTTCACTCAGGTTTGTACCAGTCATGGCTGCCTATGCTTCTATCCTGACTTCCTTCTGTCTCATTCACACCTTAATTTAAGCTTGTTAGCCCATAATCTCTCTGGAGAATGAGTTAAGTATGTGCACAGCTTCAGGCAGGGGAATCTCAGTGGAGCTGTTGGGCCCACTATGAGCAAAGTCTCTTCTTTTCTGAAGAGCTAAATGTGACCTCAATTTCATTTGTTCCCTTCCTTCCATTGTCAAAACATACAGTGTGTACATAGAACACATACACAGAATAAGGAAACTCATAAAACAACTCAATTTGAAATGTTTGCATTAACAGAATGAATTAAGCTTGAAAATATTAACTAGAAAACTTGGAGAAAACAGGAAATCATTCCAGCTTGTCTTGATCTAGAAATAACCTGTCAAAGGAGACCTTTGTTGCTTTACTGGGGAATATACAGAGCTATATTCTGGAGATAAAAGTATATTCAGATTGTTTGCTGATAATTTGTTGGCCCTATCACAGTAGTTTCTGGGTTATGAGAACCTCTGTGTAGATGTAAATGGATATAAACGTGTAAATCTTTCCTCCATGAAGCCTAAAGGAAGAATCTGTTACAATTCTCAGTGAGTTTGCTCTGTTCCAAGCTACCTTGCATTATAAATTCCATATCACCCTAAAAAATTTTATGTGCAAGTACTTCCTGTCCCTAGCATATATCCCATCTTGGGATATATGACTTTGCTTAAACTTCAAGGTGAGAGCCTGGTTGTTAGAGTACAATAAATGGAACAATTTAGTGATAAGATTTCACATTCACAGCCAGCATCTGAGCAAGCTGTACTGCAAGCCAGACTGCAAATCCCCAGAGTGCCCCATCTGCTTGTGACAGTGCCTTAGTTACACTGCAGACACACTCTTCAGTTCCTGTGGCTGCACCACTTCTGTGACAGGTTCTGCTGCTTTCACAACTACCTGGGTGGGGGCAGATGGCAGCTCTACTTTTCAGGGAGGAGGCCTGGCTGGCAACCTTTATGACTGATGGTTTCAATTAAAAAAAAAAAAAATAAAGAAAAAAATAGTCTGTCAGCTCTGACTAGTGGCTGATTATAGTGACTCAGCCAGCTACTTGAAAGTTGATAATGACTGGAAGGTGTAATACCCAGTCAAGTTTAATAGTAAATAAATAGTTGCCTGTACAGATTTCCTCTTACCTAACCCTTCAAATGTTCTTTTGCTACGTGCCTGCAGTGCTGACTTTTCCTGTCCTTGGTGAACAGAGGGAGTTGTCTCTGGAAGTGTTCAGAGTCAGGCTTGGATGAGGCTTTGAGCAGCTTGGTATAGTGAAAGGTGTTTCTGCCCAGGGGGTGGGTGGAACTAGATGGTCTTTCAAGGTCTGTTCAGGCTGAAATCATTCTAATTCTTTTGTTGATCTGGTCCTCTTTGAGTACATCTTGCTTGCTCTCTCTGGGCATCTTCCTTCTCCCTCCTTTTCCATGTGAGCAATTCCCTTTCTCCTAAGGGTGGTGACAATGTAGAAGGAGCAAGATAGGTGGTTTGTGATGCATCTTGGTCTTCAGTCATATGATTCCAGCTTTATGACTTTAATACTAGAAAATAATATATAGTGTTTTACCATTTTTTACACCTTTGAAGTTTATTGTTGGTATTTCCAAGAGAAAACCAGACACTAAACAGCATCTTTCATTATGAAGAGCAGCATAAAACACAGAAGTTGTAAATATGCCTTTTTCTTTTTTAAGTATTTCCCCTAACATTCATGTAAGTCTTTAAAGTTTTATTTTTAGAACCTTTTGCTTGAAGGGAAGACCTCTTGGGTCTGCCTTTCCTAAATATATTTGTTGAGAGTGCTTTGAGGACACATGGTGTCCATATGTGCTTATGAATTCTCTTGGATAATTGCTTTGGAGCACTGTGAGGAAAGATGGAATCCTGAGCAACAACTTATTTAGAAGGATTTGAAAGCTCTCAGCTGTACCCAATTTTTACACCCCTGTCAGCCATCCTGCCACCAGAATGGCTCCACCAGAGTCACTGAGGTCCTGTTATGAGTGACTTTGTAATTAATAACGGGATTAATAGGATTTGAGTTGGTGCTCAATCAATGTGGGCTCCTGTACTCCTGGACTCATAGATGTTTATTTCATTACAATAACATTAATTGTAAGAGGTTCCAAATATTTGCTGAAGTGACCTAAAATGTATGAATTGGTGTTCATAATATTATTTCTTCTGGCTTACATTTAAATATGAGCACAAGAAGTATATTTATATAAATAAAATACTAAAACTGGTTTTAAAAGTTCATGCTGTGTGCTGTTTTGCATCGTGGTCACCTTGCATAATGAATGAGGCTCAGACAAAAGATTTGGACTAAGAAAACCGTAGAGGAACATTTAAATTTCCAGTATGGTAAGATCATGTTACTCTATACTAGTTTTGAAAGTTTGGATGTATGAGATACAAGTTGTAATTAAACTGATGGTAAGAGGTTGCTTTCAGAGGTACTTAAAGCCAAGTTCCAATGATTTATGTGTCTTTCCAGCTTGTGTGGTTGTTGGGGGTTGTCTCATGGCGTTGCTGTCCAGGATAATTGGCCAAAGTGGGTTCAGTGCTTACCAATGTTATGACAGAAGGTTTGCTTTTATATTAAGGGAGAGTTGAATCTCTTTAGGCACTTAAGTTTCCTGTGGTGTCTTACCTGAGAATTTGCTGTATGATCATATATCTTCACTTACACATTTAAACTTGTAGTGTTGCTGACTTTTTTTTTTTTTTTCTGGCAATGGAAAGAATTTTTAAACACAGGAAGCTCAATAAAGAGGGTTCATTAAAATATTAGTACATTTTCTAAAATCTGTAGCTGTACTGATGCTTAATTTCAGGCATGCATAAATACTTCCATTCTAAATTTTTTGAATAAACTTCTTTTGTTCTTCAACAGAGGTGTTATGAACATAAGCAGTATAGAAATGGGCTGAAGTTCTGTAAACAGATCCTTTCCAATCCCAAGTTTGCAGAACATGGAGGTAAGTTTTTAAATGGCATGTGCTCTCTTCTTCACTGTACTTTACAGTAGAGTAATTATTTTAATGTCTTCACTGCTAACTTTTTGCCCATAAAGCAATAAGAGCATCCAGAAACGTGTATTAAGCACTTACTGTTAGTAAGATTTGTATTTTTAAAATGACAAATAAATAAAATAAAATAAAATTAAAGACTGATCTTACCAGTAGTCATAGCTTCCTGTTCTTTATCATTCAAGTCTAAGATTCATGGTGCAAGTTTCCTAATACAAGTATGCATTAATTAAATCACTTTTCCTGGGAAATCGATATTCACTCACGTAAAAGCAAAAAACAAAAGGAAGAGGCTGAATATTGTTCAGTACTCTTGTCAGCTCTGTGGACTGCTGCTTTTCTGAAAGAATAGTCTTATTTTAAGAGAAGGTGTTTATTCCTTCACTGTATTTTTAGTCAGCTCGTAATGCTGAGTTGAAAGTCTCTTTGCACTATTCAGAAATGCTTTGTGGGGTTTTTTGCAGCTACTTTGGTATGGGTGGATGTGTAGAAATATCAGAGTTGTGAATAAATACTTGAGTAGTTAAAAAAAATCTCCAAATGCTCGTAGAGAAGACAGGTTTAAAATAAAATTTTACTTTGTATTTTGATGGAAGTAATATAAAAGGTTTATTGCTGTGTATGATATAAGTGAATAATCTGACAGAGTTTTCCATGTGAGAAAAGAATGTGAAATCTTGATAGTGAGAAGTGAATCTAAATTTGCATTTATACTATGTTTAGGGTTGCTATATGGAGCTTAAAACCCATGAAAATGAATAACTGATACTTAATCTTTTTTTTTTTTTCTTTCTTAGAAACCTTGGCAATGAAAGGACTAACACTGAACTGTCTAGGGAAGAAAGAGGAAGCTTATGAACTTGTGCGCAGAGGCCTAAGGAACGACTTGAAGAGTCATGTCTGTATCCTTTCTGAAATAGGGCTTTTGCTGATGAATTGAAAAGGCTGATTTCTGCTACTACTTGATTTATTGAGTAGCAATAAAAGCCAGTTTAAACTTCAAACTGGTAGTTCAGAATTTTCAATTTCCAATAAATATTTTGTCTGAGCTCCCCAAAGGGCAGACACTTTGCAGTCCTTGCAGTCACAGTTAGTTCACATATTATTCTGGCAGGCATTGTGTATTTTTATCATTCATCTGCAACTGTAAACTCATGGTGGGCATTTGAGCATGTGATTTGCTTTGGAAGCATGAGTAGTTGCCATTACATTGTTAAAAACTGGTCACATACTTAGAGTGCAGGAAGTATGAGCATTTCAATTGCCTAAAATTGTGTTCAGGTAAGCCTAATAATGTTTACAGAGATCCTGTTACTTTATTTCTTCCCCCAGTGTGTGAAAAGTAACCTTTCCTATTATATAGACTGTATACATATACCTGGCAAAGTTCTGACAAAAAGCATTTATAAAGCAGCTTGAGAGCCTGTTGCCAGCTGTTCTGTCACTGCCATGTTGGAGTTGATTTGTCCCTGCTCAAATTCAGTGGAAGCCTTAATAGAGTTTTCCAGGTTGGCATGTCTATGGCCTTCTTCAGAGGTCAGATAAGAAGTATGATGAAGCTATCAAATGCTATAGAAATGCACTGAAATGGGACAAAGACAATCTTCAAATCTTGAGAGACCTTTCTCTGCTACAGATTCAAATGAGGGATCTTGAAGGTTACAGGGTGAGTATGCATACTGCATTTAATTATCATCTAGAGAACTGCAGCAAAGGTGGCAGATTGCTTAATGACGCTTCAAAAAAGATAGTAAAGTCCAGAGGGTTAAAACTATGTGCCACTCTTCATGAAAGTAAAAGCAGATGTGCTGCTGAGCAGTTTTCACAAAATACAAAGATTTAATGACAAATTATCCATTTTCAGCTCAGTGCAGAATTGTCTGCCTTACTTTTGTTTTTTTAATGCTTTATAGCTGTAGAAAATCTCCAGTCTTGTTCTTTTCTTGTTCTTTCCTGTAGGTGAGAGGCAATGTGTTCAGAATGTGACTTATTGAGGCAAAGGATTTTGGTTTTTTTGGTAAATTTGTGCTGTATATCCCTCCACCTTTACATCAGTGGCCCCCTATTAGCAGTAGGTAATAACAGAGCAGTGTGCTGCATGAACATCATATTTTGATTCCTGGCCAACTTGGGCATTAGTGAGTGACAGCTTGACAGCTCCATTTTTTTTTTGGTCAGGTTTTCATCTTTTTAGGTTTCCCTTGCACCTTTAAAGTTTTGTTTAAACTTTTTTGTTGTTTAAAACACATTAGTTGGTCTCTTCATGTATTATTTCCTTTTCAAATCAGGGTAACATTAGAGTACCCAGGAGTAGGTTCTGTGCTCAGAGTTGTGTGGAGCCATCAGCCAGCACAAGTCTTCAGAGAATTTATTCCTGAGTGAGGACAATTCTTAATCACTGATTTTTTTCATATTAGTGATTTAGAAATTTGGTTCTGCTCTTGCTGAGACAAGATAGCTAAAACTTCGTGTAGGAGCCAAAATGGACATTTGCAAAATGTGCTTGCAAATTTCTATTTTCTTGGCCTCTGGATAAACGTGAATACAAATTTTATAATCTAAACATATAAGTAGCACACTGAATGCATTAAGGATTAAATGTTAGGATGCTTAGAAATCAGTAGTTCATGGCTCTCAAAACTGGGAATACAGCAGTGTTTTGGTTGTTTGTTCTTTTGCTTTAAATTCCAGCCTCTCCTACTTCAAAATATTTTGAGTGATTATCATTCTATTAAAACAGCTGTAACTAGTTTTACTTCTTTGTTAATCTCTACTTCTGACAGTTTAGGCGTTTTCAATAGGAAGTAACTTTTTTCCTTTAAGTTACTTGAAAATGCCTTTCAGAAGTCTATAACAAAACAAGTTATAACATTTTCCTCAGGTGAAAATTGCATGATACCAAGCAAATATGTTGTCTTTTCCAGCTGTAATTATCCTCTTGCCAAAGAATAGGGATGTGTTTGCGTGACCTGTGTTGCCTAAGAACACTTCCAATTATTTAAATACATATGTACTTTCAAGGTTAATTTGAAACACCAGTAAATGTTCCTGCAATTCAAACCAGGTATCCTTAATTGTGTTCTGTTCATAAGTGGTTAGACAGGAAAAGCATGTGTGTCATACATTAATAAAATTAGTCTGACTCATCAGGATTTGGTTGGACATGTTATTTTGTGAAGGCTTATTTTTTTAATTCTTATTTTTTTATTCAGTGAACACCATTGTAGTTCGAAGTTTATTCTTTTTTGTTTAATAAGATGCACATAGAAAACTATTTCGCAGTGTCTTCCTTAAATACTAGAATATTGAAAGCAAAATATTGCCTAATGGATTCTACAAAGTATCAAGAGTAAAATCAGGAAAATAAGCAGCTACTTTTTTGCAGGAAACAAGATACCAGTTGCTTCAGCTCCGACCTGCACAGCGAGCATCATGGATTGGTTATGCCATTGCTTACCATCTGCTGGAAGACTATGAAATGGCAGCAAAAATTTTAGAGGAATTTAGGAAGACACAGCAGGTAAGAGGAGAACATGAAATTGGTATATGGAGTGCTGCTTAAGCCAAAAATAAAACCTTCCTTTCATGATGAGAAAACTTTATTCAGTTTCTTTAGTCAAATGAATTTGATCCCAAATTTTAGAATTAGAAGGCTGAACTATGTCCTGTGTTTGGCTTTCCTATGCAGACATCACCTGACAAAGTGGACTATGAGTACAGTGAACTGCTGCTCTATCAGAATCAAGTCCTCCGGGAAGCAGGGCTGTATAAAGAAGCCTTGGAGCATCTCTGTACCTATGAGAAGCAGATCTGTGATAAACTGGCTGTTGAAGAAACTAAAGGTAATAATTCACCTTCTGAAGATACATCTAAACACATAGCATACAATGGGACGTCCATACTGTCAGCTTTTCCCATCTTTTAGAACTTTGGTTTGAGCTTGATTTATTTAATTTTGCTATTGTAAAGGATTGCTTGTCTCTCAGCTTACTCAATCCCTGTCATGCTCTTGTCCCAGGCTGGCAAGGTATCAGTGGAGTACAGACATGCTGTTCTGAGACTTTTAATCTAACAGGTGTTTCAGACAGGAAATCCTAAATTGATGTCCTGAAGTTCTGTCTGAGTGGTGTACCCAGAGCTGTGCTGTTACAGCTTTGATAGTGGCCTTGACAAGGATACCACGTGTTGAAAGGCAGGATCATCTCTGGCACAGCAGGCTTTTAAATGTATTCAGTCACCCTTGCAGTGTATAGGCTGTTCAGTGAGGCAACCCAGCATAGGCTTCTGCTGTATTATTATAAACCTGATGTATAATACTAGAACAGGTCAACACAATAATGTGGCTTATATTCCATGGATGGAATTGCAGAGTGAAACAAGTTCACTCTAAGCTCTATTAACAGGTTCACTTCCTTAAAGCATACTTTGTTCCTCTACTGCTTGATGCTTGTACAGTCTTTCTGTGAATTCTGCCCATCTATTGAAGGTATGCTTGGCCCACACTGGAATCTTATTTAAAAGATTGTTTTATGTAAAGAGAATAAATCCTTTTACTGTGGTTTGTTCATGTAGATGTTGTAGCTAGTTCCCTGTTTCTACTAATAGTAATCTCACTGTCTTGAAAAATGAACCTAGGAATTGAGCAGTGACAGTATTATGGGAGGTGTGGTGCTTCCTCAAGGAAACTGATGGCAGATGACTCCATGGTAGCTGAATATCTTGCTTGATTTGCATATAAAAGGAAATGGATATACAGACTACAGTATCACAAATAATTTTTGAAACACAGTAATGGGTCTTTTGGCGGTGGGGGTGGTTTTTTTGTGACTTTATTTTTTATCTGAAAGATCTTTTGACATACTTTATGCTCTGTATTGACGTAATGTGTGACATACTTAGTGTTTGAAGGTCCAAAGTTAGGAGTGAAATAGGTTTTTCAAATAGGACTTCATTAAAAATAAACCCAAAACCAAAACACAGAGTCTCCTAGCAAGTTACCAGCCAAAAGGATGGAAATACTCTTTGAAGTCTGCATGCATTCAACAGGGTACAAGTGATTAATTTTTTTGGGCACATTTCCCATTGTGTTGATTTGGTCTGGCTTGGCTGCTGTGTATTCTCTAGAAGAGCCTGATAATAAATGAGTGTGTACAGATTTTAAGCACACATGCAAAAGCCACTGTGGATGAAATACAACTGACAAACACTGGAAATTGTATTGGCATTTGCTGGTGTTAGATAGAAAAAAAATGAACTTTCACCTCAGAGGAAAAATTTAAGATTTATTTTCCCACTTCTGTTGTTCTCATGGAGTGAACTATTGCTGTTTCCCGAGCACTAGATTTTGTGTATAGTCCTCAAGTTATTTTAACCGTGGAAAGCAGCATCTCTTGACAAAATTGCTTGTTAATTGTGTGACACAGGGGAGAAGAAAGGTAAATTTGTGTTTTCCTCTTGAAACTAGGTAGAAAAACCTTGCCTTAGTCTAGAGTGATACTGTTCACCTCTGGCATGTAATCTGTTCATGCCTAGCACTTGCCAATAGCAAAGCTTTGTAAAATAGTTTTCCACTGTGAAATGGGAAATTGACTCTTGTTGCAGTTCCAGCATTAGCAAAGATGCTTATTTAATTGTTAGACCTAATCTTTATTTTATCAATTTTAATTTGTATTAAAGTAGCATTAAAAGGAAACTTGTTTGCAGAGTCTTGAAAATTCATTCATCAAATAAATGACTTGATTAAAAACACTGAAGTTAGTTTCATGAAACACCAGGCTGAAGAACCATTCTCTTACTTACAGCTCTGCAATTTGTTTGGTTTTCAAGATGCTGTATACATCAAATACCATGTACTGCTTTTAATTGCTTTCTGCAGTAAAAACTGCTCTTAAAGTAACCAGTCACTTGAGTAAGTGAAGGGGGGAAAAAAACCACATGTGCATTCTGCATTAAATTTTCAAGTAAGTTGCAGGAATTATGGGCCAAATTGTAAAATCTTACTGTAATTGCAGCTATTGTCAAAGTAAAACATATCTGTCAACTACTTTGTAATGCTATATGTAGTGCTTATTTTTTCTAAGAAATTAGAATCTGTATGGAGTTAAGGATTATCCAGTCTTTTACTGTAGAGTGATAAACGTTACAGTGCTTTTGTATCTTGTTATCCTAATTTAAGACTTCTTGTTTTTCACACAGGAGAACTCCTGCTTCAGCTTGGCAGACTTGAAGAAGCGGTTGAAGTCTACAAGGGACTGCAAGAAAGAAATCCTGAAAACTGGGCTTACTACAAAGGCTTAGAAAAGGCACTTAAGCCAGGTAATGATTTGATATCTTGTAGTAAATAAATTTTTTCTGCATATTTGAAATTAATATGGATATTAAAAGCTTGTATTGCTTTAAATACTAAAACTATTATCTAAGAAGTCCCCTTTTAAATTTTGCTTTTTAGTCACAGTTTGTACATACGGTCATAATGTTGGGGTTTGTTAAGAAAAGACTGGGAATATTTCTTGCATTGTAGTTACCTTGTCTTATCTAAAATCACAATCATAAAAATTTAATAGTCTTTGTGTGTGATTGAAAGAAGAGAATTATTTCTTAGATGACAGATTTAATTTTGAGTTTTTCCATTATTCTCTCTTACCTTAATCTTGTGTTGTAGCTAATATAACTGAATGGTCTTGTTTGAAGGTTTTAGACAGTGATAAGGCAGGAGCTCTTTTTAAGATGAGAGATAAGCTGTTAGTATTCTAGTGCTGGAAGAGAAATTAACAGATAGTGAGTACCTTGGAGTCATTCAATTCATTAGTTTTAGTAAGAATGAGGAGGAAATTCTGTCCTTTAGGAAGGATATAGCTGTTATATGTCTTATATTATGGTTGCTATATATTCTGATTCTTTTTTTAGTCAGGTATAAATTACTTTCCCTGCCCCCCTTTTCCTTCTTGCCAGAAAGGAAGGGGAAAATAAACTGTAAAATTCTCTTCCAGCTAATATGATGGAGAGACTAAAGATCTATGAAGAGGCCTGGACTAAATACCCAAGGGGACTAGTTCCAAGAAGATTACCATTAAACTTTTTGTCTGGTAAGTGCACTTTTTGCTGAGCAGGTAGTGATCAACACTTGTGTTTCTTAGATGCTGATATAACAGTATAAACAATCTGCAAGTGATGAGTAATGTCTGGTAAAACAAAATCAACAGGTCTTTTTCCTCTCAAGGTGAAAAGTTTAAGGAATGTCTGGACAAGTTTTTAAGGATGAATTTCAGCAAGGGTTGCCCACCAGTCTTCAATACTTTGCGGTCGTTATATAAAGACAAGGAGAAGGTAAGTGTTCTAACCTCATGTTCTACCTCATAACTGTGGTGTCTTGAAGAGATGAAGGAAACCATTTTCTTCAGTGTTCCCTCCATCAGCACTGCTTTAGATGATCTGATACAGCTGGGAGAAGTACATAGATTGGGCATACATGTGCCAAGCTAGTAAATGTAGAAAACTTAAGATTTAGTAATTCGAAGCTGTGTAAGTGTTCACCAAGGGAGGCCTGGTCTTAATTCGTTAAAGATAGGGTGAGATTGAGTACATTCTCAAGTGCAATGTAATTCAGGGTATTGCAGAGTTTTCTTACCAAAATAACTAGTTTGGGTAACACCAAGTAACTCAAGTTGAAATAAAATACAATCTGACCCACGGATTATTTTTTCTGTGTCTCGTCTTGCATGTGTAGGTGGCAATCATAGAAGAGCTCGTGATAGGTTATGAAACCTCTCTAAGAAGCTGCAGGTTATTTAACCCAAATGGTGAGTGCTGAGACTGTTGTGTTTCATGAAGTAGTGCCTGCTTGTAAGCATTGTGTGTCCACTCAGAGGTGGGGAAATAGGGAGTGAAGAAACCGAGGTGGTGTGGGTCTTTTCTGTTTTTCCTCTAACACAGAACTGAATCATAGCTGTCAAATATAAAGTCTGTATTCAAAATATAGTCACTCTAAATTTTTTTTCTGGATCCATAAATTTAGTCATCTCTTTGCAGTTTTGTGTTCAAGTATGCTATTTTTAAGACTTGAGTTTATCACTGTTCAGGAAACTGAAGTTTGAAAGCTGTGTCAAATCTATAACTACAGAAATGTCAAACAAAAGGCAATATATACTGCTAGTACAATCTTCAAGCAGAGGTGTGCTTTTGGAGCTTTTGGTGGGGACTAGGTTTTGTGTTCTTGGAGGTTTCAAAAGCTCATGTTCCAAACCTGGAGCCAGTTGTTTGGAAGCTCTCCTAGGTCTGATAGAGAGGCAGAATTAATTAACTTCAGTGGCTGTGTTCATAGCATTCTACTTCTGGTATGTTGTTTTAGTAATAAACTGAACAAACAACCTCTCTTCATTTTACTGCTGCCAGATGATGGTAAAGAAGAACCTCCAACCACTTTACTCTGGGTCCAGTATTATTTGGCTCAACATTATGATAAAATTGGACTGCCATCCCTGGCTCTAGAATATATAAATGCTGCTATAGAAAGTACTCCCACTTTGATAGAGCTCTTCCTTGTGAAGGCAAAAATCTATAAGGTAAGTTTGGCTTTATTCTTAGTGACCAAAGGTTCTTAGTTTGTTAGGAATTTCAGTGAGTTCCTAGGTAAAGGGTATTGTTTAGCTACTTGAGGTCGGGTTTTCTGCTGCATATGAAAAAGCCACTATTGTAGGTTTTTAACTCAGTAAAGAAGAAATGGTCAGCAAAATGTGAATTCTCAGTTTAAAATTAACACTGATAAATTAGATTGAGTCTTTCACTTGTTCTTACTCCCTGATTTTTTTAGCTGCTTAAAGCAGTTTCTCAAATGCACTGTGATATTGTTTCAGAAGGGGATTATCCAAACTGGTTCTTTAAGCATTTTCAGGAAAAATATTTAGTGCTAAAAGACCAGTAATTCCATAATGAGAAAAGGTATTTAACTGCTTTTTGTTTCCTTTAAAGATTTCTTGCTTTTGAAGAAAGCTAATTTTTTTAAAAAAAGTCTAAAAAAACCTACTTATATCAAACAGTGAGTAGATAAAACATGCGTGCTTTATAATTATAATTATTAAGTCTGACTTAAATTTTTATCTTTATAGCATGCTGGAAATATTAAAGAAGCTGCAAGGTGGATGGATGAGGCTCAGGCTTTGGACACAGCAGACAGATTCATCAACTCCAAATGTGCAAAATATATGTTAAAAGCAAACTCCATTAAAGAAGCAGAAGAAATGTGCTCTAAGTTTACACGGGTTTGTTACACTTAACTAGATGTCTTTTTGGAATAATGTGGGCCTAATCCCTTGTGGAATAACTTCTTGTTTTTAACTTTGCACTCAGCTTCACTATCACATTTAATTTCTGTTTCAGAGCAACTGTGGTTGCTTGCTTCAGTTATGGTAGTCCATTGCAGGGTTTGAATTAATCTTGGATAAGTACAATACCATAGTAATAAGTGAAAACTCTGTAAAGGTTTGGATTTAGTTGTTTTTGCCAGGTAGGAAAAATGTAGCGTGCATGTTTTAGAGAGTACTTCTGAGAAAATAATTTTTGCACAATAATCTTTGGGGGGTTTAATGTTGATTCTGTAGGATACTTGAAAGATCTGGTAAAGTTGTCCATGTCTTTTATTTTCTAATGGTAGTAAGTTAGAGAATTCACTTGTCTCTTGGAACATAATTTTTTTGTGTAGCTAACAGCTGAGAACCTTTGTGAGGTGTCTTCCTTGTGTGGACAATGTTTCATTCCCAAGTCCTTGTTTATCACTGGTGAAGGAAAGCTGCATGTTACACCTCTTTTAATTTTTCCATGTTCTTACACATGACCAGTTATCTGGAAGAAAAATACTGTTATGGAAATTGCATAATTTTATACATCACTTTTTGTCCCTGCCCCCCAGTAACACCATTTTGTTAGGTTTGATGGTCACACAGGTTAGTTACTTATTTTAAAATGTACTTCTTTGATAATATTCTTTGATAACTGCAAGTCAAAGCAGTTCAGTGAAGTCTCTCCAAACTATTTGTCAAATGACAGTTTGGGAATTCTGGCAGTGTCATTTGTGTGTTGTCTGAGACAGGCAACAAACTGTTGGCTCTACCTGCAAAAGTAAAGCCTTTTCTGTTTGTTCCATTTTCTCCTCTCTTAAGGAGCAGGAGAAACCTGGAATATAAGGCAGGTTGAACAGAGAGAAGGGTGAGTGGTGTTTATAAAGGAAATCTGAAGGATCTTGAGAAATGAAGGCTATGTGCAAGCAGACATGAGGGGAGGGCAAGTTCTGTTTTATATATCCCCAGTAGCTTTATGTGGGAGTTTTGATGCAAACCCACGATGAATTTAGGTTCATTTGATTGATTGGTAATTTAATTTGGTTAATTAATTTGACACCTCAATGTCTGAAGCAGCTCTAAGATGATGTTCAAAAGAAAGCATACCAGTTACCCAAAACTGAACTGAGAAAATATAAATTGATGTTGCTCTGTAGAATCTTATTCATCTCCATTTGATCTTATGTCTAGTGCTCAAATACAGGCTTCTTAATTGAAAAACAATAGAGTTCTAGATTAAGCATAATGAAAACAGAACTGACACTTTTCTCGTTTTTAGTTGCCTAAATGAGGCTCTTTCATTGCTAAGTTCTGTGGATCTGTGCAAGTATATATAAATACCAGATTTGAAAGACAATTGTAATCCCCTTTTTTGAACCAGGTGTCAAAGTTAACAGTATTGCTTTTGCCTTGCTACTCCTCTTTAGTACTGATTGCTTTAGAAATAATAATCTGTTACTACTATTGTGAGGATGCTTAGCTCAATCAGCAGTTCTCTGGAAGATGCAGATGGCAATTTTAGTTGATGGGGGGGAAAAAAAATCCTGCATGGCTAGAACTTTTCTGCCATTTTTTCCATGCTACAATGTGTTACTTGTGTGCACAGAGTATTAAAAATACTGAATGAGGGTCTCTCCTAAGCTAAAGATGAGGAACTGTCACAGTGAAATGGTCACTGCCTGGCTCTTTGTGTCTTTCTGACTCTTCCAGTTGGTGTAACAAAGATTTTTATATTTGTTTTAATTAATCAACAAAGCTAGTCAGTTTTAACTGTGGCATTTCCAACTTTCAAAACTCCAGTTCTGAGATTTAGAATTCATTTTCTTTCTTTGTGCTTTTAATTAGGACAGGATAAAAGAAATAGCAACTGATGAATCCAGTGAGATTTATTTTTTGTGTAATGCTGTTTTTGCTTTTAGGAAGGCACCTCTGCAGTAGAGAACCTTAACGAAATGCAGTGCATGTGGTTTCAGACAGAATGTGCACAAGCCTACAAAGCAATGAACAAATTCGGAGAAGCACTTAAGAAATGCCATGAAATTGAGAGAGTACGTATTCAGCTCCACTGCTTAGGGTGGAAAACACTGGTTTAAGTGTACTGTGCTGATTTGTTACTTTTCTGAGCAGTAAAGGTGCATTTCATGTAGCTTCAGGAGAGATTTCATGTTGATTACTGGCAGGTTTGTACAGTTGCATTTCCTCCTAAAAGTACCATTGTAAACTGTGTATTATGAAAAGATTTTATAAAGTTATTTGAAGATCCAGATGAGAGCAGAAAACTGTTAAAAATAATCATAGTTCTGGCAGTGTACATAAGAAATGGGTATTTAGGTACAAACTAAGAGTATGTGAACTTTAAGTCCAAAAATAACTGGATGAGCTGACAAACCCATCCTTAAAGGGACAGATGTCAGTTACTGTTAAGGTACTGTTTTAGAGGTACACAACAAATGTTTAAAAAAATGAACAAAAATATTAACTATCTTTTCCTTAAAAAAAAAAAGCTACAGTTTAAAAGAAGCTATTGCAAAAATAAAGACTTCTTAAATTAGAAATTTTATTAGAGGGGGAATACTTGCTCATTAAATGTAGATATCCATAGTGAGGTAAACAACAAAATTTGAATGCACAACTTTAAAAAGAAGCAGGTATGGGTTTGGTTTTTTTAAAGCACATTAAAAAGACCAGACAGCTGAGGGAAGGAAGTGCTGAAAGAGCAGAACTTAGTAGGAAGCTGTGCCTCTTTGCTAATAGAGAGGCATTAGGAGATTCAGCACTGCTGCTCTTCTGCAAGGAGGGCTCAGCTCTGGGATGTTCTCTGATTTGAAAAAAGTGATGTAAAATTATCAGAGTAACCTGGCCTAGGGGAAGGTGTCCCTGCCTATGGCAGAGGGTTGGAAATAGATGATCTTTAAGGTGCTTTCCAGCCCACACCAGTTTGTGATTTGCCAGGACCATGCTTTGTTTGCACAAATCCTTTAAATAAATTAATATAAGATTCTTTTGCATAAGAAAAATTTCTGTCCATTACATAAATTCTGTCTTGGGTACTGGAAGAGATCAGCAAATGAAGTGATAACTTAGGCCACCCAAAAGAAATATTTTTAAGGATTTAAGTCACTACGTTTAATTTATTTATTGGATTAATTTACTGGAGGTGTAGTAAAGTTCAACAATAAGAGAAGCAAATATGTTGAATTCAGAAACCATCAACAAAGTTTTTTTGTAAGAAAACAGTGCCTTCTAAATTTTTTAGAGAGGCCAGTTATATGAAGGGGGCAGTCTAGTTGATAAAATGTTCTGGTTTTTGGAAGCAATTTTTTATCAGAAAAAGTAGGGAGGTTGATCTCATAGATTTAATAGCTGATTCATGGCTGGGAACACAGAGTAGGAGCAAATAATCAGCTTTTGCGAGAAAATAAGTTTATCATGGAGATTATGAAGGTCTCTCTTATAGAGTCTTCATTATTTCATCAATGAATGATCACCGAAGCAGACTGAATACTGCAAGGACAGCACCTGCTCTGTCTCAAGACTAAATGATTTAAGCAGCCCATGAAATGTAATGTTCAACAGTGTAGTCAATGACAAATTCTCTGCCTATGCATAAGTAGTAAAAGGTCTTAGAATAATTAATGCTGCTCAGGAATCCTGAAACCATTAGAGATAATGCTGCAAAAACTTCTGTGCTGGTGTGGAGCAGCAGTTAAGAGGACACCTGAGGAATTAAAACTCGAGAGGTAGTACTTTTCTTCAATTATGGAAGTCTGTCACACTGTTTTCATCTGAGTGTCATACCTTCTTTAAAATGGGCTAGTAAAACACCTGCTGTGGGGTAAATTCCAAAGGAAGAGACTGCAATTAGCTTGTTGTGCTTACTCGTCTGTCCCGAGCTTTGACAAACAAAGCTGAGTTCAGGATAAAGTTAGGAGATCATAAGTACTTGGAGAAGTTCAAGAGGGAAATGACTTTTTGCTGCTTCTTAAACAAAAACAAAGGGACATGAGATGGTGTGGAAAGCAGAGCTTGAACAAAAGAAAGTACTTTCTCACATCATGTCTGATATAAGTGTAGAAGTTCATTGTCCTAGTAGTGGCATGAATTGGAGTGAATTTTTAGTGGAAATTAAAATTATAGTTTTGAATGAAAAAACTAGAGCAAGTAATAGAAGAAAAACTCCTCAAATTGTGTTTAAATACAATGACTGTAAAACCTTTGTCTGCTAGGAAATTCTCCGAGGTAGTAGTTACTTTTAAGAGAATGTGAAATTGGTATATTTAGGTTCTGGGCTAAGATGCCTTCTGTCCTTTTCACTATGACTTAATTTTTGGAAGGTTTTATTAATGTTTATAGTAGTTAGGCTGTATTTGTCAAACAGTAGACTTTTATTTTGAAAGTCCAAGTTAGTATCTCATTGTTAATACTTGCTAAATAATGTTGTGTTCCATTGTGACAGCATTTTGTAGAAATCACAGATGACCAGTTTGACTTCCATACTTACTGTATGAGGAAGATCACCCTTAGGTCTTATGTGGACTTGTTAAAACTAGAAGATGTGCTTCGACAACATCCCTTCTACTTCAAAGCAGCACGAATTGCCATAGAGATCTATCTGAAACTTCATGATAATCCCCTAACAGATGAAAACAAAGAGCATGAGGCTGATACAGGTATTCAAACCTCAGGGTTTATTCGTCATGCAGTTTCACTAATTAGTGGGTGTTTTAGGGAGGTCTGGCATGATTGTCAACTGTGGTAGCCAAAACCAGAGTTCTACACAACTCAAAGTAGGCAAACTGCAGCTTGGACTGCATGGTAAAGTAGATGTTCTGCTGGGAATTAAAATAATGTATGCTTTTATTGTGGTTATTATAAAACAATGATGGGTTTGTGGTGAGAGTTGTAACTGTTTGTGTTATGGAATGACTCCAAAACCATGAATTCTCATGGTGGTTGGTCCATGGAATAGGAGGTTGAAGCAGATGTGCTTGGTAGTAGCTCTTTCTAAGCTTTTTATTAGTGTTCAGAAATTTCACTAGGTAGCAACTTAAATTTTATCATCTCTTGCTTCTGATGTAAAAAATAACGTTTAAATCATCTATTTTTTTTTCCTCCCATTTCTGATTGGAGAACAGCTTAAGCAGTTATGGCTTGGGGCACCTCAAATGGTACGAATAGAGGATCCTTCAAGAGAAAATCCTTTAAGAGGAATTTGTCAAGTTTTAGTATTTTTCATCTCATTATGCTCTTATTTTAATTTCTGCCCCCTGATTCCACTAAGGAATTTGTGAATTATGAAGCAACAGCATAGGCTATAAAATAATCTATCCATAGTAAATAAACTTTTACAAAGATAATGACAGCATTGCTCATTAGTAGATATGGTTTAAAAAAGATGTTGTCTGACAACTGCTTGATGCTTTTAATACTAGACATCAATTTTGTGTGGTTTTGTCCTTTGTGTGTGTACAGCAAACATGTCTGACAAGGAGCTAAAGAAACTACGAAATAAGCAGAGAAGAGCCCAGAAGAAAGCACAACTGGAGGAGGAGAAGAAAAATGCTGAGAAGGAGAAGCAACAGAGGAATCAGAAAAAGAAAAAAGATGATGATGATGAAGAAATTGGAGGACCGAAAGAGGAACTTATCCCTGAGAAGCTGGCAAAGGTGCTTACCAATGTAATAATAAAGTCTTAGAAATTTCTAGAAAAGTTGCAGTGAGCACACATAAAACTTAAGCCATTCAAATAACTGATTTATTTTTTTGGTATGGCATCTCTTCACAGGCAGCATTTTAAAAATAGTTCCTTTCTAGGGCTAGTTTGTTAAATACAGTGTCACTTGTGTGGAAATGACAGCTTTTCTGCCTAGTTCTTAAAGGCAGTAATTGAATTCATAAACATTTGCTACATGTGGAATTATCTCCACGTGTCTACTGCACTAACTTGTTGATTATACCCTATTTCTTGTTGGTTGTGTGGAAGTCTTTCTATCCTGTATGTAAGGTGATTGTTATCATTCACTCTTTTATGCCCCCTGATACTCTTTTGTTTGCGTAGTCAGCCTGTGAAAAAGGAGATGTTGAAGCACTGAATGCTTTAACAGGATTTCTTTGCATATGTTTTGAATGGGGAAAAAAGGAATTAAGAAGCTGTAGTAGTAAATAGCAGACTAGACTGAGATGGTTTAGAGATATGGATTAAGAACTATAGTGAGATATAAAAGGGAGATGACTCAGAAGACTCATGTTTTAGCAGAAGTTATACCTGTAAGAAGCAGGAAAGCACTCCAAAAATGTGAGGGAAAGATAAAATTATAGAGGCTGGAAAAATTAAATTATAGCAATAGTAGTATAGATTGCAAGTCTTTATAGATCCAGCATTCTGGATCTATATTTATACTATTCACACTGAAATGAATGGTATTTGCTCTTGAGGGGATATTTGAAAGTTGAGTCAGTGAACTTCACTCTGTAGCCAGGAAGCAAGTGATTTGTTTAATAACTTGACTAGTTTATTAAGAATGTTGGTATTCCCATTTTTTAGTTCACTGGTTGCAAGGACAGAATTGCAGTGCTAGCCAAGATGGAAATGGAACAGCATGTATTGAAATTGAGTTCTGTAATAGAGGGATGTCGTGGGATAGCTGTGAAAAATCTAGCCAGTCCCCAAGATTAGAAGGAATAGTTGCAGATGTATAATGCATTCCTTTGGCAAATCTACTTATGTCTTTAATATACAGGTGTCAATATAATATAATTCCAAATTCAATATCATAATCATGATATAGACACTTGCAAATGCAGTTGGTGCCATTTTTGACATAGTTGGTCACTTGCAAATAGTTTTCCTGAAACAGCTGCCCCTAGACTTGTTTGGATATGTATCTTTGGCACTAAAGGCATGGCTTTGAAATGGGATTTTATAGGTTCCAAATAGTTCATGTGCACAGTATGTATGTAAAATCAGCAGCACGTAGAAGTGATGTATTTTTATGACAGGTGCTGTAGTTATATTTAGCAGGAAGGTATCCATTGTGATCTTCAACTCAAGTTATTTGCAACAAAGTGTATCACTTCAATATTGTTGAATTGGTATTGGTACACAACAAAATTTCTATTTGCTTCTTAGAGAGTAGTTTCTGTTAATAAAAAAACTAAGGAAAACAGACTGTTCTTGCTTGAGCAATCCCAAACCTCTGTATGTGAGATACCTGTCTGTAAAGAACCGTTGCACAGAATTAATTTGTGTGAAATTTAGTGTAATCCATTTACTGGATAACACTAGCTAAGATCAGGAGACCTTTTTAAATATCTAGTGACTTCCAGCTTGCTGTTGGTATTCTGGCTGGGACTGTTGCCATGACCTGGCAGCTTTCAGGAACCTTTCTGAAGCTCACATGAGCAGAATGTCATGGGTGTTTATCAGTCATTTGCCATCATCTCAGGCCCATGTTTGTAGGCTGGTATGAGCAGCCACACTGCCCTTTTCAGTGCAGGTTCAGCTCCAGTTGTGTTCATTCCTGGTGTATGATAAGAAGGAAAAGATCTGTGTCTCTATAGTGAGACGTGATTTGTAGCCATCAGAAAGCAAATATTCTGGACTTTTCAGTCTGTGTTTAGATACTGAGTGAAAGTTGCAAAATTTGTAACAGAAGAGCTTCTAAGCATCTTATGGCACTGCCTTAGGAGAGCAACTCTGTGATGTTACTCAGCAACAGCTGGTTTTTGTGTTTGTAGTTGCTAGGTTTGACTTAATTGTGTGTCACTTCCTTGAATCTGTAGGTTGAAGCGCCTTTGGAAGAAGCCATTAAATTTTTAACACCCTTGAAGAATTTAGTGAAGAACAAAATAGAGACTCATCTTTTTGCCTTTGAGATTTATTTTCGAAAAGGTAGGTGAGAATACTTAATGAAAGCAAGCAATTTGTGAATCATAAAGGTGTATATTGGAACTTAAGCAGCAATTATTGATGAGGTGTGAGGAGCCCATACCTGCCAGGATACAAAGCTTTTCACTGGACCAAGACCCCAGTCTGTGAAAACCAAAGTTTGAACATTTGGTGATTATCTACTTAATTCACTAGTTAAATAGATGCATATTATTAAAAACAGCAGCACACTCAGTTGTAAATTCTTCTAATTTCAAACACTAAATACTCCTGTAGCACAATGCAATGAGTTCCTACCACAGGTTTTTGAACATTTGTCGACACTTTTTTTCTTTTTTTTTCCAGAGAAGTTCCTCCTAATGCTTCAGTCTGTGAAGAGAGCCTTTGCTATTGATTCTAGTCACCCTTGGCTTCACGAGTGTATGATTCATCTCTTCAGCAGTGGTATGTATCTGTTTGGTAGGACTCCATCTGTGCACACTGCCAGCTGATGCTAAACCTGCAGTCTTTGATTTTTAGCACAATCAATCCAAAATATTTAAAGCATGTATTAGAAAGCATGTATATAAAGAAAGCATGTATTTTTAAACAACTGATTCATGCTAAAATTAAGCATGGTTATTGTGACTGCATCTGGACTTAGGAGTCATTCCAGTGTTGCTAAGAATTTTTAAGACTGTGAGCAGTATATGAAGCCTGAAAGAGAGAGGCAGTGAAGAAATGGAAAATGCAGAGTGAGGGATGTGGCTTTTCAGCTGACAGCCTGTGTCAGCATGCAAGCAGAGGGCTTAGAATTCTGTCCTTACTGGTAAAACCTGGAAGAATTCTCTCCCTTCCCCTGTCCCAAAGGTCACCCATTCTGGTGGGGGCTACAGAGTAGACACACTTAAGAACAGACTTGTATGACATTAACCTTCGAGCCTAATAGGTTTTAATTAGCAAAGGGGAGAGTATATTAATGTAAAAAGCCTTGGCTTTTTCTAAGCATCGTTTAAGTGCTGCAGTTAAGCTTCTTCTAACCACATTCAATATTTACCTCTTCAAATTTTATGCATCTTCCTTTGAGATACTTTCCAATTATATTAATATGTAAACATGAAATATACTAAAAAAATACATAAATCATATTTTATTCTGATTACCTGTGCCCACCTCAACTTTTTTTTTCCAACAGTATCTGAAAGTAAGGATCTGCCTGATGCTGTTAGAACAGTGTTAAACCAAGAAATGAATCGGCTTTTTGGAGCAACTAATCCAAAGAACTTCAATGAAGCTTTCCTTAAAAGGAACTACGACTCACTGCCACATAGATTATCAGGTATTTGCCTTTCTCCTTGTTCTGCCCTACTTCTGAATCTTCTGTGCTTCTCTGGCAGTGGTATCTCAGTATCAGCCCCAGTGATGTAATAGTCATTCCTTCATTCTGGTGTGCTTTTCTTCTCTGTTTTTCTGAAAACCACAGCCAGGTTATCTGTAGTTTTCTTTAATTTTCTCTTTGTGCTGCTGAAATGTAAATGTTGATATTGATTCTAATGTGTGCAGAATGTTTGTTTTAATGCTTTGTTTAGAGCTTCCCTTCTACTTGCTTGGGTGTCAAGCTTTATGCTCCAAATTGGTTCCATTTTGAACTTCTGCTGGAGAGTTCAGTCCCCTCTCTTCCTCATATTATCTCTAATTTGTGTTTGTATATAAGATGGTTTTGGTTACCCACTGGGTGATGAGTTTTATTTTTCCTCCTGTAGCTGCCAAAATGATGTACTATTTAGATCCTTCCAGTCAGAAAAGGGCAGTGGAACTGGCGATGACCCTGGATGAATCCCTTATTAACAGAAATCTTCAGGTAACATATTTATAAATTGTTGACAACTTCTGTTTTATCAGTGGAAGCTTTAAGCAAATTTTGGAGGTAAGAGGAAGCTGAAATCATTGCTGTGCCTTAAGGTAAAGAGGTTGAGTTGTGAGACAAAGGAGTATCAGGTTCATCTGAACTGTAATATTTAATATCCTTTTTGCACATTTAAATTAGTTTTGTGATAATATGAAAATAGCAGCAGCAAAAACCGTATTAGTGCTACAGGTAATGGGAAAACTTCCTAAGCTTGAGGGCATTCAGAAGGCAAAAGAAAAGGTGGCAGTTTGTCTGAGCTTTGGCTGCCACGGAGGCAACTGTTCACAAGCAAAGGAGTGGTGCAGACTCTGGGAAGGCTTTCCATAGTCAACTTCCTGCAAGCTGTGGGAATTACCATAGGTTTTATAAAAGCTGCATATGCACAGTTTTTCCTTAGCATGTAGTTAAGTGAAAAGCTCACCAAATGTTGAGTCTTTGCTCCATTCTGGTGGTCATGGAATTATCTCCCTCTGACACAGCCTCCATGTCCCTTTCCCCATTCCCCCACCTTCATCTGGGAAGACTTGTCAGTTCTGACTCACAGGTTACAGTAGTCTGTGCACTCAGTCTTTTAGATCTATTGCAAGTAAATTTGGTAAATGTTTACTTAAAAATTATTCTTTTGTTGACAAAAAAAATGGAGTTTTCCAAAAAACAACTCTTAGGAAATACAGTGTGTTCAATAGAACATTAATTATGAAGGGTTTTAAGTTGATAGCAGAATTTTTGGACCAGACAGAGTGAGGAAAAAGCGACAATAAAGGACAATTTGCCTTGATTTGTAGATTTGTTTAGGATGTTGAAGATTAAAATCCTTTCTCTGTTCTAGCTTGTGGTATGGGATGCAAACTCATGTCTTTTATATTTGAAGTACATATCTAGCATTTTTCATAAACTTGGCTTTTTTGGGTGTTGTTTTTTGGCTTCAAGTCTTCTTATGTTTGTGTGGTCTCAAAGATCTTAATCTAGATTGTCAATAGATTTAGAAAACAAAAATTAATTTGCCTTCTATTTGCTGGTTTTTGCCTGTGAGTGGGATTCTGGGATTTGGACTGGGGAAATATTAAGTGTAGCCAAAAATGCTTAGTTGTTTTGGAGGTGCAAACTTGGTTAAGACTAGAAGAAGATTTCACCAACTCAGCAGTGCATAAACATCCTATAGAGTACATTGTGATAAAACTGAAAATGTTGAATTTAAGTATGTTTGGTGCCAACATTAAGGTAGAGTTGGACTTGTACTGAACTTCTAGATGAGGAATTGAAAGTGCCCTGAAAATGGAGAATTTTGAGGAGTCTGGGTGTTTGTTGAAAGGCATTTTTGTGTGCAAAGAGATCAAATTTATTACATTTCATTGTAGTAAAAAAACCAGCTGTCTCAGAGCACACTGCAGGCATAAAACCAGATATATTTGACCTTTGGTGGATGCCAGTATTACAAAGAGCAAATGTGAGGAAAAGGGGTCGTTGAGGAGAGCTCCATAACCCAACAGCAGGAGGACAGAGCAGTTAATCCCAGTACAGAGAAGAAATAAAAACTGGACTAAATGTCAGAGGAGCAGGAAAAGCCTGCCTGGCTGTGCTAATGCCTGCACACAGCCATGGGCAGGTGTTAAATGCAGCCAGGCTTTAGTGGGGCTCAGTAAATTGGTTTCTCATGTTTGGAATGCAGGCTGAAAAAAATTCCATAGCAAATCTCCTTTTCCTCTTCTAAATCATGAACAAAAATGAACAGGAAACTGCATATATCTGAAAAATGTGGTACTATCAGAGTAATTTGATTTGATTGAAAGGTATGTTATGTGTTGCTAAAATGGTCAGTGTGTCCCAAGAATGGTGGGGTTCTTGGTTGCCAGTTAGCAAGAGTAACATTTTTTTTTAGGAAAATAAGAAACAAGTGACAAATTAGTATTTCATTTTACAGTCGAGATTTTTAGCTGGGTTTTAGATCCCTTTTTAAATTGCATAATTTCAAATTAGACTACACTGCTATTTCATGCTGTGTTTAGTTAAAATGTCATTTGATGGTGTAGTGTGGCCCTTGGAGCAGGTTTGTGGCAGAAATGTTATTTTAAATTCGTCTTGTGAGATTATTCTTATCTCAGACAGAGGAACTGCTGTTTGAAACCTGTGTTGTGAGTGTTCAGCTGAACGTTTAAGAAACCATAACACTTCTTTATTTTTCTCTTTAATTAGACTTGTATGGAGGTATTAGAAGCTTTATGTGACGGTAGCCTTGGAGACTGTAAAGAAGCATCTGAAACTTACAGAGCAAATTGTCATAAGCTTTTCCCTTATGCTTTGGCTTTCATGCCCCCTGGATATGAAGAGGATATGAAGATCACAGTTAATGGAGATAGTTCTGCAGAACCTGAAGAACTGGCCAATGAAATATGAACAACTTTATTGGAAAAAAATGACGTTGGACCATATCTGGTGTATAATATTTTTGTCACGCACCTGCTGAATTGTTCTAACTTACACAAAGAACAGAAGGAAAAAAAACCCGTTGCCTTCAAATAGTTTTACTTTTTTTTTATCCTGCTGACAAAGTATATATATAAAATATCTAACATATTACTGGTTAATAGGTTGTTTGGTTTCTTAAAAATTAAAAGCTGCTAAAATTGACAAAAAGGAAAAAATAAACAACCCTTTTCCTCACCTACCCACCGATGTTTTTAAACTAATTTATACGAGACCTGGAGGTGTGTAGCCCTCAGAGCAGGTGTGTGGCAGAAATATTAACTTTAAATTTGTCTTGTGAGATTACTGTTATCTCAGACAGCAAAACTGCTGTTTTAGCACTGGATTCTTTCACTGAGCACAAAGAGTTGATGGGGCTTTAGCATCTGACTGATTTTGATACGGGGGATGATTGTGTCCATAGGAAGTATGCAATGTGAATCAGAATATACAGAGAAACCTGCAACATATTTGCTATGTTGGGGTGCTTGGACATACGGATATCAACCAGAATTAAGAAACATAGTGTGTTCAATAAGCTTGTTGTGTCTCTGAAATTCACTGTACACGATCAGTTCGGTGTTCTTGCACCACAGTTTTTACCTGAAGGAACCAGTTAAAAATGGTCTCTCTTGGAATTAAACTTGGGGTGGGGAGAGGAGAATCAACATTGCTGTTCTTGAGATGAACCTATTGGCATAGGTTGGCCAAACTTTTTAAAACTGTAATGCAAGAACCAAATAAAATTATGCACTGTGATGTGGCACCAATTAGAAAGATCGCATGCATTTTTCACGTAGAGTGAAAACAAAATGAGAACATACTATGGCTTGAAGTTGCAAAGAGGAAAACTCCTGACTACCATTTTGACTGATCAAGAGACTAATAGATTAAAACCTCAGCAGGCCTTGTTCACGTTATGCAGAAAAAAAAAAAAAAGTGCTGCAGTTTAGATACCTCTGGAACTTTTCCACAGTGTCACAGGTTTGTAATACTTGAAGCCCTACATTTCTAAGAATATATTTCTTGCTCAGTTGTTTCAGGCAAGCCCAAGACTTTGTAACTTTTAAGGGGCCCAAGATTTTTTTTTCAATAACAGACCAGCTTCTTATTCCTGCAGTTACAGATGTAATTTCCTTTGTCAAACATAAGGTACCAAATATAATGCAATAAAACGTTTTGAAAAACAACTGTGTGAATATTTAAACCAATCTATGTTGTTGTACTTGGACAGTGAATGGGTTTGCTGGAGTGCAGCTCAGGGCTGGCTTACTGTGCTGTCCAGTCATGCTAACAATGTCACTGCTACTGGGTGGTCATTGAGTATAAAGTGCAAATGCATTCTGTGTAAATACTGAATGTCTGGGAAGTCCTATAACACAATGCTTTGCTTTTAAGTTCCACCAGTGTTAGGATGAATTTTGTTTTCAAAGTCAAGCTCCCGTCTACAAGTCTACTGTGTTAATAATATAGATAAGTGCTCAAATGTTTTCTTTTGTAGGCTCATCATATAAAACCGAGCAGAAATAAATTACAGCTTACAAAGTGAGTGCCTTCTTTGCTGCAGGAGTTCAGTTACAGAGTATCTGTTGTGTGGATACACAGCCTTCCTCTTCCACATAATGGAATTCAGTGATTGACATGTACGGTTAAGAGATCCCAGAAGATTTACTGCAGTTTGTAGTTTTCTAACTGTCACAACAACAGGCTTTTGTTTATTGTGTCTTCAGCTCCACTTTCTTTTCATGGTTAGCCTATCCTTGTGTACATTTGCAGTATAGTTCCCCTCAGAAGTGTGGGTTGCTGTATTTGTATATTTAACCTGCTGGGCTTTTAGGGACTGGAATACCTACAGAGCCTTTAACTGACTCTGGCATTGATGTCTTGATCTCAGTTGTTTCTGCAGCCTGGGATACTTGGACTGCATGTCTTCTGCAACTCCTGGAGATGGTTCAGTCTTACCTGCACAAGCTGTGAGCTTTTGGCCTTGCCTCTTGAGTATTGCTGCCCATTTCTTGGCTGCTTAAGCTGGAGGCAGCTGAGTGCTCGCTCATAACAGATTGTGAATTGCATCAAGCAAATTATTTTTTTTTCCAAATGTGGGGGTTTTGGGTGCTGCCTATAAATGGGATTATTTCCTTTTTCACTGCCTGTTTTCGTGTTGAAATGGATGAACAAAAAGCCAGAAGTTACTTGTTATCTTTAATTGTGCAAATGGGAAAAAGGATGCTTCAATGGGCCTTCCAGAATTCTCCATCTACACATCTGTTTTGATTTCCCTGAAGACACTTCATAATGTTGCTGAAAGGCATTCCCACTGCTTCAGAGATGATGCTTTTGGATTAAAGAGGTTACTCATCCCCTTCCAGAAGACTGCAAGCCCAGGACAGGAAACTACACCAAGAGTTTGCCTGAAGATGGAGGTTCTTTAATTGGCAAAGAAATTGTTATTCCTTGATCTTCACATCTGTCCCGTTAGATGCAAGGCTGAGTTCTGAGGAAGAGCTTTTAAGAGCTGGAAATGGAGTTGAAATCCAGTGCAGTGAGTCTTCTTTGGTAGCACAGAGTGCTGTGATGCAGTGGAAGCTTTCCTTTGTGTGTTGAGATCCAAAGTTGTAGCCACCAGTGCTTTGCTGCCAAAGCAGTTGAGCAGGGAATGCAGTTGTGGTCGGTGACCTAGATCATTGGCATGACACAATTTATTTTGATTCTTCGTGATTTTCACTGAGAAGGAGGATGTCACCATCAGTGGAGCCACTGGTGATGACACATGATACAGGTATCTTGCCTGGGGACAAAAAAAATTCAGACAATAAATTTTGCCTAGGTAAGAGAAGATGGTGAACATTGCATAAAGCAATGCCAGAGTTAGATGTGGGCTTAAATTGTAGGGAACTGGAAGCTGTGGTTTTCCCTGTGATGGTGGGTGAGATACTTGCTTCTTCCATGTAGAGACCAAAGCATGCAGGCACGTGTGAACAAGCAGGTAAAATAGCCTCAAACTTAGTATTCACTGACTTAATTTCTTTGCATATGAAATGCCTTAAAAGCTGTATTCAACATTTTTTCTTTTTTTTCAGTAGAGGTCTTAATATTTGCATGATCATAAAGGGGAAGGCTTGTCCTGATGCATGCTGTGTCAGCCAGAACACAGAGGGAAGTTTGTCACCCAGGTTTTCCCCTGACATGGGGAGCAAATTCCAAGTTTCCCAGGGAGCTCTCTAGGGCTGGATGAGGTGTTTATGATCAGCCTGTTCAATCTTCCTTTAGCATTTGGATTTGCCAGGTCTGGAGGTGCTGCAGCCATAACAGTAGACCCTGGAAGTTGGTGTAGCAACTCACAGATTGAGTTGTGTTTTCCCTGTAGGAAAACACCCATGAGAGCAGGGGGAAATCAGGCCTGAGGAGCCAGAGGTGCAAATACAATTTCATTATCATGTGAGCAAGGTAAATAAGAAGACTTAAGGTGTCTGTCTCATGTGATGCCTTTGGGGGTTGGAGCAATGGTGCCATCGTGCCTGCAGCATTCACGTGCTGTTGCCACAGTTCTGTTTTGGGCACGTACTACTCATGCCAACCAAACCACTCGATACCATAATCCAGCTCAATAGACCCAGATAAAAATCTTATTTTTCCCTTTTTGTGATTGCTTTAACTGCTTTTCCAAGTGTTCTGTACAGAGTATCTAGCTAACTTTAAAATCTTTTTCCCTAAGGAATTTTGCTTTACAAATGCCATTTTTACTTCAGTGTAATGTAAAATAGCTTGAACTATGTGGAAGTCAGAGTTACACTCATGTGATAACACAGTGCTTTGGGGTCCTGTGAAGGAAAACAGTGCAAATGTAATGTAATTAGACAGTTGTATCAGTAACTGATTTAAGCTGACTGTAAGCTCATTAATGAAAGGTCCTGTTGAACCTTAAAAGTTCAGTTGGAGGGAAGTGGTTGCTGAGCCTGGGGAAAGGCTCTTGCTTCCAGGACCTTCCAGTTATCATCTGTCCTGAGATGGGATGAGGTGAGGTGCAAAGGGTAAATGCTTTTACAAAACCTCTGGCCATGCAGTCATGATTATATTTCCTGGAAATTAAAACTGCAATCAACACTAATTTTAATGGCTGTGTTGGGCAGAGACACTTCCCAGGAACACACAGCCAGCAGTGGGAATGGCAAGGAGCAACTGATAGAGCAGCTCGTCAAAAGAAGACTGAAGACTGAAATGAGTTATAAGAAGGTGGCATATACCAAGGTCCATTTGTGATTAAATATAAAATAGCTTTCTTATTACCAGGAAGATGAGTGAAGCTGTAAATACTGTAAATGCAGTCTTCCCATGCCAAGGAAGCTGTAAATGTGTATTACTTCTGGAGTGGTACAAGCAAAACCAGTAGTGTATTCACAAAGACTCTAGCTTTGTATGTTAGTCTTTATGCAAGTTGTGGCAGAAAACTGGGAGGACAAAATTTGTCCACTTTGCAAGAGACAGTATCAAAGAGTTTGTAATATTGCAAGAGAAATATTGCTACAAAATCCAAAGCATCTTGGAAGAGCTTCCCTAAGATGTTTGTTTTAATTAAAAGTGTTAAACCTGCTAACTGTTCATAATGAAAGACAAAGGAGTACTTTGACAAAATATTTCTGCCTGGCACTGCCCATTCAATATCTACCTCTACTAGTCCTAGTCTAGTTTGGCTACTGCATAATTTTAGCTATTTAGCATAAAACATACAAAAAAGTGTCATTTGCCTGGTCAGTGAATGTATGATGATGGATAACATTTAGTTTTAAACTGTAATGCAATAAACCACAAAGTTAGTGATGTTGGTTCAGTGCAGCAGCATATTTATTGCTTCATTGCTGATCCGTTAAAAAAAAAATCTTAATTATGGACTCCACCAAGTTACTTGCAATTGTACTGGGATTTGCTTTCCCTTCCAGCCTTCCTAACTGGTTAACAATGTTGTACTGTGTTTTTACGCTCTTCTCTGGTGGTAGTAAATATCAAAACTAGCAGGAAGTCAATCAAAGAATAAAAATGCTGAGTTCTGTTTGTAAACGAGTGCTAGTGTTTCCTTGTAGGGTTCAGTTTCCTCCTCGGATAGCCCAGCAGCTTTGTAATAAAGGATCCCTCGGTCAGTTCCCTTAATTCCCCTTGTCTTCTTCTAGGGCTGATGAGCTGTTAATGGAGATCCAGCTCTAAAAAAAGGAAAAACGGGTCAGTAGGAAAAGGCTGTGACTCCCTTTGGAGTCAGGCTGGAAAAGAACCACCTTGGCTGGGAGCTGTCTGTCCTAGCCCAGAAACTAACTGTGTACAGCCAAAAAACCATCCTTTGCCCTTTCAGGCTACAAAGAGCCAATATGGGAATTTGGATAAATGAGTGTTCAGAGGCAAGCTGAATGAAGAAACATTTGCTGTTTTCCTCCAACAAACAATTTTTGGGGATTAAATAAAATAAGGCTTTTCTTCCCCACCCATAAGCCCTCCTGATCCCAAAGTTTTCCTGATTCGGTATCTTGCTATTTTAATAAATTAGCACGCAAAATAATATGATAATGCTGACAAATTGTAATAAAAGTAGCCATGCAGACTGCTGATACAGCAATATAGGAACCTATAGTGTGTCGTGCACCTGGCATTTCAGATTACCTAGAAAAAAATGTTTGTTAACGATTGTGTGTAATGAATTACAGCTCTGATTAACCCTGTCTGCAGGGAGCACCAGGGCTGCAGCACTTGCAGGGTCTGTGGTTGTGGATGCCTGCAGGGAAGGCGGGTGTGATCCTGAAGTGATGGCAGCAATATCCTCATATTCACCCCTTTGGATGGGAAAGGGGAGCTCCTTGCAGGAAGGGCTCCTTTGCACAGGTTGTGCCCTACTGAAAACCACCACCCCTAAAAACCAGCATCCCTTCCTTATCCATGTCCTCATAACTTCATTGTTCTTCTGTGGGAGGGAGAGGGCATTTGTGCTGGGAAACTGCCTGCCCCCTTCCATTCCTGGGAATTCCTCGTGATTTGAAGCCCAGAAGATCGATGAGGAGCCAAAGGTATCCTGGCAGCTTAGGCATTATTTTATCTCCATAAATAATCTCACTTTTAGCTTTCCATCAGTACCCCTCCACTCCATCAGGTATAAAAGATCTTCCTACCTTGTCGTTATGCTTCTGCAATCTGTTCTGAAGGCCCCACGTGCAGCAGCAGAAAGAC